GTTTTTTGGCATTCTCTTTTCTACATTTGTCTTGACTAAATGCCATAAATTCTCAATGGGATTTAAGTCTGGACTATTTGCAGGCCAGTCCATTAGTTGAGGAACGTTATTCCTAAGAAATGACTGAGCAAGACGACTCGTGTGCTTAGGATCGTTGTCCTGCTGAAATCGCCAGTTTCTTCCCATCATTTCATGAATCTCTGGAATATGATTTTCCAGGATTTCGACATAAAATTCTGCGTTCATTATTCTCGTGAAGCAAAAAAGACTAGTTTTACCATTTATAGAAAAACCACCCCAAGCAAAAATTTTTTGGCGATCTTTTGGAATTCGACGAGTGGGCTGTTCTCTCTTGTACCAGCGTTCTACTGTATTACGAAAGAGCTGAAAAGCTGTCTCATCAGTAAAAACGGGTTTGTTCCAGTTGTCATTCAGATGATTCTGTGCCCATTCTACTCGTTTTCGTTTGTAGTCTTCAGTTAACATCGGGGTGGCTTTTGGTAGCTTCTTTTTGTAATCAAAACCCAAAAGATGCCTCGAAATAGCCATGCACGAAACTTGATAACCTTTATTTGATAACTTTGTTTCAAGTGTTCTCAATGAAATAGCAGAATCTCGACGTATAGACTGGCCAATTGTCTTTGCAATAATAGGCGTTATTTTTTTTTTCGGCCGCTCCCTTTTTTCCGATCCAATTTTCCATTATTTTGTTCTAATTTTTTGAGATTATTATAAATAGTTCGCATGGGGATCTTTGTGGCCGTTTAAATTTCCTTGACTGAGCGCATTCCAATGTTCCAACAATGCAAAATGGTCTCACGTTGCGTATTCAAACTTGATTTAGTCATTTCGTGATTAAATTCAAAAAAAAAAGCTAAAAATGAACTAGAAAATGGTTAAAAACTTTTTTAAAAAAGTTAAATAAAAGTTATTGTTTGTATCAAAACGTAAAAAAAAAACAAAAATTAAATCAAATTAGGTAAGATATACGTGTTCGAACAACTTCAAATTTTTTTGCCATTTTTTTCGTGACACACTGTATTTCATAAAAAATTTATCCAAGTTCTTGGCCGGCTAAAAAAAAATTTCTCTTGACATTTGTTTTTACGTCTAGAATTTTAGCACAGAATTCAATGACATGGACACTTAGTTGAGATGAGTCCATCTGTATTACTTCAGTACTTAGAATGACAAATAACATATGTTTTCTCAAAAAAAAAAAAAAAAATACAATACTTGTTGCAGGATAAAGTAATGTGTAATTGGAGTAATACAAATTCTGTTTGAATAATTATTATTCACATTTATTATAATAAATGATATATGACGAAACCTTTGAATTTAGTCATTGATGTAACTAAGGTATTGACCAAAGGTAGTTTCTCACCAAGGCTATTTTAATGATTTGACTAAAGTAAAAGCCCTTGCTTGACATACACTTGACATAA